CCCTCTCCGACGGTCGCCGAAGGATTTTGCCTTCTCGGGAGCGAGGAAACTTCTTGGCGTCCCTCGTGGTAAGATCGAGTGAAAAGTTTGGTAAGGGGGCTGGCGGCGGCGGCGGCGGCCTCCCCCCATACCATCGCCGGATCGTCCTGATCCAAGATATGCTGAGGATGGTGAAACAAGGCAAGCACGAGGAGGCGACCGATCTGCTGAAGCACCTGCGCCAGGTAAGGGGGTGGGATCCTAGCAGGAATCTCGGGGCCGGCGGGGGGGCGGGGGGGGAGGTACTCCAGCAGTGGTAACAGATGTCTGGAGGCAGGTACTGGAGCTTAGTTCCTACTGGGCATCATAAGGGGTTCTGGGCTTCTTAGCATTTACTTAGCCAAGGAAGCCAGAGAGTTGCTCTAACCAACCCACCCATGGAGTCGGGGTTTGGCTCACTGAAGTGGAGGAGTTTAGGAATGAGAGCTTAGGAGTGGGTTGTGACTAAATTTGCATAGCTACTGGCTGAGAGGCATTAGCCAATATGATATGTGCATCCTAAGGTGGCAGATTGGCAAAGTTCTCCATTTGACTTGGAGCCAGGAAGGTTCTTGGGCATAAGCCAAGGGTACAGTTGAAGGAGGGAGCTCTTGAAGGCATTTTCAGAGGGGATTTGAATGTCTTATTTTGAGTGAAGATGAGCTGGAGGTCCCTGAAAAGAATGCTCTCCACATGTTGTAGGAAGTTGGACCAGTGTGCTTTCACAGATGGTTTGCCATGAGCTCTGAGATGTATTTCCAAGGTTCTTAAGTTGCCACCAGAAGATAATGTATTCTGTCAACTCCAACAAAGGACACATATTCAGTTGTTGTTCACATGACAAACTTATTCATGGTTAACCTAACCATGGTTTGTCCAACCCAACTCCACAAGGTTTATGCAATACATTGGACCAGGAGCTAATTATGAAGCACTAGATACTGTGCTAAAGTGCAGTTGGTTATTTACAGTTTAGCATGTCAGGCAAGTATAGCCAGCAAACCTTAAGACTGATGAATTTTGGACGAATACCCAAGGACTGCCTATTTTTTTACATCTATTCTAAACTGTGGTCTTGAGCTGACTTATTCCTCACTGCCTTGTAATTTCCTGATCTATGACAAGGGAATGGAGGAAAGTCTTGTCCGAAATGATTTGCTTCATATGTGCTGCTTGCTTTGAAGAAACAAGCAGCTAAGTGGTATGAAAAACCTGTAAGATCGAAATAGGATTGTGTGACGAGGTGAGCAAATAAAGAATGACTCCTTTGTCACAAGTCTCTTCAAAATGATCTTTGCATCTGTTCAGTTCTCAGCTCTATCACTGCATGGTCATTTTTATGTTTTCTTGCTCTGCAAAGATATCCAGGTAGGTTGGAATTGACTGGTCCTTCTCATTAAGGAGCTGGTCTCAGTTATGGTGAAACTCCAGCTAAGTCACCTTGGGAGCTGAAAAGAAGATTCTCTTCAAAGTTTCTGACAGGGTTCATGTCTTTTACTAAACCAGATTGTGCTGTGCAAACCAAGCTTTGTGGTGTCTAAAACATACATCTGTGGCACAACGTATTATTCAGAAAAGCATGGATAAGCAAGTTGTAGCTCAGTCATTGTCCCCTTACCGCTGATGGGCTTGGGGACCCCTGGAAAGAATTATATGGGATACTTTTGCTGTATGGCCTTTAAGGGCTGTGCAGAGATCCTTGAAGGGAAAAGTGATTTGGAACACCCGTGGGTGCACATATAGCACCTGTTGGCAGCTCCTTAAAGATGCCATATCTTTTCCTGGGCATACATGGCTGTCCTCTGCAGCTGTCGCACGATTCCAGGAAAAGACAGTTTACAGGGTTTCCAGCAGATGCTTTCATGCATGTTTATGGGTCCTTTGGATCACCTTTTTCTCTTCGAATCTGGACCTCTGCACAGCAATAATAAAGGAAGTGTCCAGAGCCAGGGCATAGCATTTTGTTAGGCAGATGGATTGGAGGAAGGAGTTGAGAGCAGTTGGACTGCACAGTCTGCTCAGTGAGACCCCTAGATGTGGCCTGTCGAGGTGTATCACTTGACCTGGTATGTGAAAAGAGTAGCAATGATCTTAAGTATGTGACTGACTTTGTTCTGCAGCTGGCAGGGAGAAATTCTGGCACTCACTACCTGATGTGTTCCGGTTTTTCTCTAATCTGGATGCAGTGATTCATAGCGTGCAGATTTTTCTGCAGTAGCAAAGGTAGTCCAGTCTACATTGCAAGCGTGTGTACGGGAGAGAGGACTCTAATTTGGAAGATGATTTGTATATTAGGTGGACAGATGGGGGGTTGGGGTGGACGAATCTTCAGCCACACTTGCCAAGATCTAATGCAAATGCCTGTATAACTGTTTTTTTGTTTTCCTTTGTTTTTTTGCAACAGTCGATAGATTAACAAACATGTCTAAATGTGCTGCCCGATGTTTCTTGGCAGTAATTGAATTACATTTGCTGAGAATTAATTAAAGGGAGTCTGAACTGGCCTAGTGAGCCCTGTGGATAACTTGGCATATTTCCTTGCACCGTTGCAATGCGAGGAGCCCCACAGGAATACGGTACATTTAAGCTGGGTTAATTAAATTAATCTCTCCTGTTTGAAATTAACCCCAGCCCCCCAAACCTATGGAAGTTATCATTTTTGGGTGCTGAGAATTCCTGGCTGGATGTTGCTTGCCCCTCTCCCATTTAAAGTACAGTTCCCAGCTTTCTCCAGGAGCAGGAATTGTTTTTAATTTGTTTTGTTCCTTTGGGAAATCTTAGCCAAAGGGTCACCCAGCTTAGATGAATTGGATGTTCCAGAGAGAGAATACAAATGGTAGTATTAACAAAACAGGCTCTGTTCTGGTGGGAACCACAATAGCTGACAGCGTCAGAGGCATCCGGATCTCTCGATTGTCCTGCCGTTAAAACCCCTTTCTGGATGGTCTCTTGAGCTCAGCTTGGAAATGGCTCCTTAGGAAGATGCCTTATTTATTGAGTTTCTTTAAGGAGCAGTTCTAGGATAGATGTTTCCCCCTCCAGACTGCACTAAAATGCAAAAGTGGAATTGAAGACTGGAAATACAATCCAAAAAAAGGCAATTGGAAAGCACTGCCATATTGTTACCAAGAAAACTATAGGGATGTATCTATGTAGTCATTAGGCATCAAGTTCCATTTAAGGGAGTCTTTATTTTAGAATCACAAAAGCTGTAAAACATCTAGAAAAATAACAGGCTGTTTAAAACTCGGGAAAACTAAAAGGCCCATTGCCCCAGAGGAATACCAGAATGTTCCCCAAACCAAACACCATGTCTCAGAAAGCCTTTTCCTCCAGTTGTCTTACTTTGGTTGGTCTCCACTGATTATCGCAATTTGCAGGCATTTTGGTGTGTTATACTGTAAGTATTTGCTCAGCTACGCTGGTCTCAAGCCATGGAAGTCTAATTGCACACTGCTACTCAGAAATGAAATATACTAGCCAAGATTCTGGGGGCAATTGACCAAGATGGGGATTGGATTACTGTATCTTTGTGGGGTCCAGTGGTTGGTAAGCTTGCCATCAAAGGTTCTTCTTTAAGCCTAAGAATTGCTTCCTTTTTCAGTCTACATGCAAACAGATGAGAATCATATATATTAAATTGAATGTATATGTTTAATCACCTATAAGTATTGATATTTATATTGTGGATCATGCCCTTTTCCTTTCTTGGAGCCTGTTGCGGACTTAATGGTTTTCTTAGTCTAAGGCTGTGAGAGAGGTCTGAGTAAGTGTATTTCCTTTTATGTGTTTTTTATTGCATGTATCTAACACCTTTCCATTGAGACCTTGGTGTACACGAAAGGCTCCCCTCATTTTATGCTCATAACGACCCTGGGAGGTGGTTGGGCTGAGGGACAGCGACCAGTTCACTCACCTTGTGAGTTTTGTAGTTGAATCGAGACTTGTTCCTTGTCTTTGAAGTCCAAGTCCCAGCCCTTTAAACACTACACTACAGGGACTCTGTGTTGACTATTAGAAGATGGATTCTGTAGAAATACTTCTCCTCCTTTCATGTAGAACCCAGTCTTGGATACAACAGGTGTTTTAGTATTATTGAGATGAAGGCTAGGAAATGGTTGGGGGGCACATGTTATCATTTGCTAATAAAATGCCTCCGTGGGAGAGGGAATATTTGTGCATTTGCAGAGGGGCTGTCATAGTAAACAGAGCCAGCTACAAAACATTTTCCAAAAGGTAAGACTGCAAGACAGCTCTCCAGCATCTTCCTTCCCTTCTGGCTCACCTTTGTCTTTTTTTCTGAACCGACGAGCACGCTGCCCAAGAAAAGCGCTAAGCTGCAGCCATTCATCAGTTCTATTTTCTAAGAATTCCTGTGGGGGCCCAAATGCCTTCTTGGAAGTAATGCTGGATGCAGTGACTTTGCTTTGTAGCATGCCAAGCTTTCGTTTCTTTTAATTGAAAGATTTTAAAAAAGAAATAATTTGCAGCAAGGAGCTTGCAAATACCATAGAAGGTGCCTGTGGGCAAATTGGTGCTCCGGGGCATAAGTTGCCTTCTCCTCACCTAAGCTGTTTAGAATTCAAGGGGTGTGTGTGTGTGTGGGTCTTTTAATTTTGTTTTATCCTTCAACCCCCCAGTAGTGGCAAACTCCATGCATAGTTGCCCCTTACATGGCCCTTTTCCCTTTATAGAGTGGCCACGGGGCTACTGTAATTCGGTTTTATGATTCCTGGTGTTTGATGGTTGCTTGGAAGGAATAATCCGCAGTTGGAGAGAATCTTTCATGTTTTGCAGGTCTTCTTATACCTGCTGTGATTGCATTCTATTATTGCTGATTACAGCACAGCAGTTTGCCAGCATCATATTTCAAATCTCACCTCTATATTCAATGCTCCTCAAAGTTTTAGAATGCCATTAATGACACAGGTAGGTGTCTGCTAGCTGTGGAATTGGTTCCTTTATTTGTGGAAAATTCCAGGGTGTGGAATGTCTAAAAGTTTGAGAAAACTGGCCCACCCATACGAAGTAGCACCCTGCAAAGCAGTTGGCACATATAATCTTAATATTTGCTCATAGACTGAGAAAGACTTATGCTTGGGCAAATGCAATCTGTTCTTTCTAAGCGGCTGCTGGGTGCCCCTTCCCCTCACCTCTTGGGCAGGCCAGAGTTAAAAAGGTCCAGTCCAAAGCATGTATAATTTGG